CAATGTATCCTACTGAACTAAAGCATGCAAAAATGCAAAGTACCTTAACTTTAAGATTAGAGGCAACATCTGTAGCAGAGCTGTTTAGACAGCTTCAGTTGTAAAACACTGTATGAAAACCACTTGGGTTTCTCTAGGTGAAAATTAAAGACATAATAACAGTATCAGATGATTCTGAAGCATGAAATATTTTTAAAATATAAGCAACTCATAAGAATTAAAAAATATTCATACATTGCACTGCAATGTAATAATCAGATTTCAAAATGTGTTTCTACTTTTTTTGCTCTGGTCCACAGATAAGCGTTATACCATGTGGGTTGACACTGTCATTTGCAAAGATGAAGGAACATAAAGAACTGAGTTTAGTTTCAAGACAGAAGTTACATGAACATGGAACAGAGCAAAATAAATTCTTAAGTAAGGAGAGAAACAATTGGTTGACATAACCGAAAATCTTTCCTGCATTTGCCCTACCCAAAACACCCAGTGCCTGTGATAATCTTCATCTGAGGAATCTGTGACACTTTCCCAACCACTTGAGCCCCTCTCAAGCCTACTGACTTTTTTCAGTAGCCCAACCAGATCTCTGCCTGAGACTTAGAATCATAGAATCATAGAACAGTTAGGGTTGGAAAGGAACTTAAGATCAAGTAATCCCAGGCACTTAAAATCAAGCAATCCCAGGCACTTTAAATCAAGCAATCCCAGGCACAGCTACAGGTTGGGCAGAGAAGAGATTCAGAGCAGCCCTGCGGAGAAGGACTTGGGGGTGCTGGTTGATGAGAAAATGAACATGAGGCGGCAGTGTGCGCTTGCAGCCCAGAAAGCCAGCCGTATCCTGGGCTGCATTAAAAGGAGTGTGACCAGCAGGTCGAAGGAGGTGATCCTGCCCTTTTACTCTGCTCTTGTGAGACCTCACCTGGAGTATTGCGTGCAGTTCTGGTGTCCTCAACATAAAAAGGACACGGAACTGTTGGAACAAATCCAGAGAAGGGCCAGGAGGATGATCAGGGGACTGGAGCACCTCCTGTATGAAGACAGGCTGAGAAAGTTGGGGCTGTTCAGCCTGGAGAAGAAAAGGCTGCGTGGAGACCTCCTAGCAGCCTTCCAGTATCTGAAGGGGGCCTATAGGGATGCTGGGGAGTGACTTTTCATTAGGGACTGTAGTGACAGGACAAGGGGTAACGGGTTCAAACTTAAACAGGGTAAGTTTAGATTAGATATAAGGACGAAGTTCTTTACTGTGAGTGTGGTGAGTCACTGGAATGGGTTCCCCAGGGAGGTTGTGAATGCTCCATTCCTGGCAGTGTTCAAGACTAGGTTGGACGGTGTCTTGGTTGACATAGTTTAGTGTGAGTTGGACCTTATAGAATCATAGAATCATAGAATAGTTAGGGTTGGAAAGGACCTTAACATCATCTAGTTCCAACCCCCCTGCCATGGGCAGGGACACCTTAGGCTAAATCATATCACCCAAGGCCTCGCCCTCCTCTGGACTTGTTCCAACAGTTCCGTGTCCTTTTTATGTTGGGGACACCAGAACTGCACACAATACTCCAGGTGAGGTCTCACAAGAGCAGAGTAGAGGGGCAGGATCACCTCCTTCAACCTGCTGGTCATGCTCCTTTTAATGCAGCCCAGGATACGGTTGGCTTTCTGGTCTGCGAGCGCACACTGCCGGCTCATGTTGAGTTTCTCACTGACCATCACCCCCAAGTCCTATTCCACAAGGCTGCTCTGAATCTCTTCTCTGCCCAGCCTGTAGCTGTGCCTGGTATAGGACCTTGCACTTGACTCTGTTGAACCTCATGAAGCTGGCATTGGCCCACCTGTCAAGCATGTCGAGGTCCTTCTGGATGACATCCCCTTCCCTCCAGCATATCAACCAAACCCCATAACTTAGTGTCATTGGCAAACTTGCTGAGAGTGCACTCAATCCCATGTCTCCGACAAAGATGTTGAACAGGACTGGTCTCAGCACTGATCCCTGAGGGACACCACTCCTCATCGGCCTCCCTTTGGACATTGAGCCATTGACCACAACTCTTTGCATGTGGCCATCCAGCCAATTCTTTAGCCACCGAGTGATCCATCCATGAAATTGATTTCTCCAGTTTAGAGACAGGGATGTCATGTGGGACAGTGTTGAATGCTTTGCACATGTCCAGGTAGATGACATCAACTGCTTTACCCCTGTCCATCAGTTCCATAGAGCCATCATAGAAGGCCACCAAATTGTTCAGGCAGTATTTCCCTTTAGTGAAGCCATGTTGGCTGTCACCAACCACCTGATATTTTTATGTGCCCTGGCATGGTTTCTAGGAGAATCTGTTCTGTGGTCCTGCCAGGCACAGAGGTGAGACTGACTGCTCTGTAGTTCCCTGAGTCATCCATTTTCCCCTTCTTGAAAGGGGGCATTATATTTCCCTTTTCCCAGTCATTGGGAACTTTATCTGACTGCCATGATTTTTCAAATATGATGGACAGTGTCTTAGCAACTTCATTCGCCAGCTCTCTCAGGACCCGCAGATGGATTTCATCAAGTTTCATGGACTTGTGCATATTCAGAGTCCTAAGATGATCTCAAACCAGATCCTCTCCTACAGTGGTCCCAAGGTCTTCATTCTCACAGTCCCTGCGTCTGCCTTCCAAGACCTGTGTGGTGTGGTCATTTGCCAGTGAAGACCGAGGTAAATGAAAGGAGACTTTTCTCCCTTCCATGCCCCGTCAATGCCACTATTCCCAAGGATGGATTTGAGCTCTCTCTGTCACTGCACCTGTACGTGAAAAATAAGTTCCATACTCTGAAAACCCAGTGAAGAGCCTGCAGTCCTTGTTGTGTCCCATGGACCAGGGTTGATTTGACACAGAAAACATAGCTGTCCTCCAGCCTTACTCTAGCTTGTGCAAAGTGAATTATTCATCATCAGCATCATGATCTTCAACCTTGAGAAACTGAATTTATCTGGTCTTGATTCAAATTAAATTAATGTCACTCCGGGTGAACGGTTGTATGTGACAGGCCTTTTAAATTAAATCTTTTTTCTTCAAATTGTCTGTTATCTTCTACTTATAAACCAAAATTGAATATTAAGTATGGGCTTAGTGTAGCTATTAATCATTCAGCTAAATAAACCCACTAGCAAACTGTGAATAACTGTAAATAAAATAATAGCTTTGCTACATACTACATCTTAGTTCCATGTAGACTGGCTATAACAGACAAAACAAGAGCTGTTGCAAAGTGTAAGGAAAAATTTGCTAGTTTTGCATTAACGCAAGGTACACAAACATAATCACTATACAAGCTCTAATTATTATTACTTGTTATTTTGCTTCCTCTGACACACACAGCTCACTTGCTGCTGGGTTCTAGATTCTCAGGGCTGTTTTATTTAATAAGAACTTCACATAAAATGAATATAGGGTTTTATTTTCTCAAATAGATTACCAACAGGACAGTTGACATTCTCACCTGGTGAGTCTAATGATACTTACTGCTGGTCCAGTATTATAAGGGTAATCAGTAAAACTTAAACTATCATTTCCACTTGGGCACTTGCATCCAAAGTAGATGTGGCAGAGGTGGAAATTGTCCCCTGACCTCCTTTGATGGATATTTTTGCCAGTTAGAGACAGGGGAAATTGCAAGCCTTCAAAATCAAAACACTGAGATGAAATGGCTATTGAAGTAATTTAAGCTTGTCAACTTTATTTTTTCGCCTTTTTTAGTGGTCAACCTCTGAAACATAGCAAAGGGAAGAAAAGGGGAAAGAGGCATTATGTGATTAAGAAAAGCAAAAAACTTGAGAATTCTTGACCCATTCTTCAAATTATGCACACACACAACACACCCCACACCCCCCCCGAAGACATTTTGCTCAGTGTTCAAGAGCAGAAATTATCCACAAGTCAATTTCCTGTGAAGACAAGCTTTGTTAATGTGTAGCTACCATCATTCATCTCCCTTTACATTCAGCGAATGTTTTCTTCTTCTTCTCTCTCCTTTCTACCTTTCTGCTTTCTTACCGAAATCTCCTTTTTTTGTGATACTTCTTAATGCCTCTTACCTTTACTATTCATAATTGCCCTTCTCAGGCAAGTGACTAACTTAGGGCTTGTGTTACTAGACCTTCATCATGCAGAGTACAAATCCCTTGTGATTTATTAGCTCTTTGGTTCTATTTTCTTGAGTGTGTGAGACAAACAGACTACATTGCTATTTCTTCATCATACAGGTAGAAAGATGCTAATGGAATGCAAAATTTGGAAGATCAATCTAGGATTGACTTTGCAATTGACAGCTGAAAAATAGTTTTCCCTGGACCTTTGCAATTTCCTGCCTATATTTGTTTCCCTTGATGGTGCCTGTCTTTTCCCAGATTGGTCTATATTTTCCTTTCTGAGCCTGAGAGGAAAAGCATCTCTATAACACTATTGCTTGCAGCATTCATTTCTTCTAACTTTTCTCCTTTTCTATTTATAAGGAAAGAAGATTTGGCGAACTCAAGGACCAGCAGTCCAATCCTTTTCATGTTTCTCATAAATCAAATTCATTGTATGGCAGCTCACCTATTCACCCCTTTACCAATCTTTCATGTATTTAACGTTCTTACTTGTCTACTGATTATGCTATGTTACCCCAGCAAAGGGCTTCAGTATTAAATGCTCCCTTCATTTGATCACTCAGAGAATTACGCTATAATGATCCTCTAATTACAGAGCTGTCATGCTGTGTTAAATCCTTTCTGTATGTGCTGTCGACTGTTTACACTGTTCTGCATGTCCTGGATTTCACATTTCCAAATATATTACAGTGATAGCTGACAACAGCATTGACAAGCATAATGTACAGTGTATGGTTGTGGAAAAGAAGGGAAAGGACTTTTAAAAAGGTCTCGGAAAGTGAGAGTAAGCTAATATTGCCACAGAAGTTTTAATCAATGTGTATATTTCTATAAACCAGTTCATTCCTGTTTTTCTGTGTTTTTCCACAGTGGTTATGTCTTTGATTATGATTACTACAGAGATGATTTCTACAATCGGTATGTGTGGTTATATTTTTGTACATCCTACACCATTTCCACTGTTTGTTTATAATGTAATCACATCATTTGGTTAGACAGGTCTGTTCTGATTTTACATATTATTAATTTCATTACTTCTATTGTGCATCAGTATAAGACTATTTGAATATATCACAAAGACAGAAGATTACCACCACCAAATGCATGCATGCACATTAAACAGTTCTTTTGGTCTTATCCTTCTCTAAGAGCTTTTGGGGCATTTTCTGTGCAGAACATTTCAGTGGTAGTTTAATTGCTCAGTGTTTATCCCTACAGAATTCTTCCAGTGGAACATACAGCAGCTGTAAAATTCTTCAGCATAGCATTCATATCTTTGTCTTTTCATCCATGTGTATGAAAAGATATGAAATGTATCCTGAAAAATATGTCTTCCAAGAATGTTTAGAAGGCTAAAAGGACCTTAAGAGAAAAAAAAAAAAAACAAACCAAAAACACAATATGAACGACGTATGTGTTTCTAAAGGAGGAAAAGAAGTGTGGATACCTGAGTAACTGGAGACTTGTTCTTTGGGTATATACACACAGTCTATTTTAGGACTATGGGAATTTATTCATTTATATGTAGCAGACTCACCACAACCCAGGGTTAACATGGATGACCACAGATAACCAACTCATGATCCAGCAGTGCTGTGTCTCTGCATTACAGCAGCCTGCCTTAACATAGGCCAAGTGAGTTAAAGGGGAACAAATTATTGTTTCACCACCCTCTTTTAATCTGAGATTTCTTTTATGTAAAGAAACGGATAATAGCAGGGGAGTGGTTTCTACCCTGAAGTTAAGGTATCATGCACTATATATTTTTCTGCTTAGAAACTCTAGGAAAAATGTAGAAATATCTTTTTTTTTTTTTTGGTGGGGGAATGTGTTTTTATTTTGTTTTGGTTTGTTTTCCTGGAGTTGGTTTAATTTGAGCTATAAGTTTTGGTTTTGTATGTTAATGACCATGCTCCTTTTGGACAGAGCTAAAAATAGCAGACTATAAACATTTGGAGTAAAAGCCATCAGTGTAGTTTAATCCTGCTTAGTCTAGCTTTGACAGTAGGAGCAGCTCATGCCTGTAAAAAGTTAACTTCCATAGGCTTATGTTTACTTTCCCCAAGGTTAATGCTCTGAATTCCATCAGTGTATTTTTATGTTTTTAAAAGAGTACTGTTTCAGATCTATGCCACCTGAATATTAAAGCTATATGTCTTTAGTTTTTTTCCTAATTCTGTATGTTATGGGCAGTACAAATGAACAACTATAATGGTCAAATTTCCACAATAAAATACTTATGAGATATTAAATGTAGTTTCTGTAGAACTTGGTGTCTATCTATCTTGATGATTGTCTTATTATGGAAAACCACTGAGTGAAATGTGTCCATAAATCTATTCAATAGTGAAACTTTCTGATGTATAATTCTTTCAGGAGAGGAAGGTGTGGGGGGTAAGAGAGCAGCTGCATGGTCCTGAGTTACCATATGGGTTTAAACCAGAACAATATGATATACTGGAAGATAGAAAAAATCACCTTTGGAATAATAATAATAAAATAATAAAATAATAAAAACATAAATAATAGTAATAAAAAGTTCTGAAACATTCTTTCCAGTAATGTCAAATGGAGGTTGTGGCTAACCTCCAGATCATCCAATGTGATAAATGATGAGTGACAACAAATAATAATATCTATGTTAAAAGTCCCAAAAATATTTTAGTGTTCACCTTCATACATAATTGTTTAGTTATGCTCACAATGGCTAGAAACCATTTATTCAGCAAGAGTGTTCAAGGCCACAGGGTTCAAGTTCGCGGGGGTGACATGGTCTCTGTGACACATTTTCTAGGCAGCTATGGAAAATGAAGGAGCTGGTTATATTGCCTGTAGGATTATGGTACAGACAACAGTGAGGATCCTGGGATTTAAGCGTTAGATATTTACTTGCCAGAAAACAGGCTAGAAGAGACTTAAGTTTGATTCTGCTTCCTGTTCAGCATGCAGTTAGAGTGTGGTGAGTGAATTACTGCTTCTTGGGTATCTGTTTTCAAATGTGTATCTATGCCCAGCTGGGCAACAGTAGTCAGAATTGTTAAAAGTAAACATGCAGTTATAAATTTCCATAGTTACTAGTTGAAAGTATCATTTGAAAGAAACTTAAGAACATTTCATGAGAATGTTGCTTGTTCCTCTGCTTCAGTCTCTGAACGGGAAATCTTAATTTTCTGAACTTTCTTCTCCTGGTCTGCAGATGGAAAGCCCGTAGGTTTTTATTTTCCAAATATATATGTAGTTTTAATCACCTTTTCTACTGCCTTTATTTTCTTCTACGCAGGTTAGTCACCTGGTGATAACTGTGGGTTTAGGATTGGGTATTCTGTTTGGGAACACTAGTTCGTTTTGGTTCCAGTATGTCCTTTATTGACTATAGTAGTTCTCTGAATATTTATTTGCTACAGTGGTGTTTGAACAAGACTTCTTTTTATTAAGCATGCTTGGGTGTTTTAGTCATCCTACATCAATTCATTCTTCAAAAAAGAGAGCATATGCTGGGACCTCTTTTCTATGCATTCAGAAGGACATACAGGTGCCTCACTCTAAATGCTCTTTTCCTATTTCAGAAACTGCAAGGTATTTCTTTATGGCAATGTTTGGCTTCAGAAAAGTTCAAATTTTTTTCTGTCTTTAAAGATGGGAGGTAGAAAACTAGAATTTAAGCCATGCATGTAATAAAGGAGATGAAATGTCACCACAACAAAATGTATTGCTACTAGCTGTGTGCAATGAAATGTTGTGGATCTGTGGAAAGCAGGTTATGGATTTTCCATGCTGCAAATAACATGGTCCCATAACGCATCCCTCATTTAAATTATACAAAAAATTTGAGGTATGCACTGGTCTGTGACTGAAATCTAAATATGGCACTTAATGTGCATAGGTCCTTGAAATCTAATTTGACTGTGATCTAAAGTGATTAGTTTCAAAGGGTAATTTTCTCAAAGATAACATAAAAATTTTGTTGACAGGGCTTCCATGACTTGAAATCATATAAGGTTTTATGGAGTCCAACTGACTTTATTTTTCTAGGTTGTTTGATTACCACGGCCGTGTCCCCCCACCACCTCGTGCAGTAATTCCACTGAAACGTCCTCGTGTGGCTGTGACAACAACTCGCAGAGGCAAAGGGGTTTTCTCCATGAAAGGAGCATCACGATCCACCTCAAGTGGGGCTTCTTCCTCAGGATCCAAATGTGAGTTGCTCATTTCAGTTGGATATTATTGAAACAATGATCCTAGTAATTTCTGCAAGCAGACAGCTTCCATTATATAGCTCTGTTGCAGTTATTTCCTACCCTCAGCCTCTAGCTTGACAAGCTGGCTTAATTACTAAAGCTGACATGCCTTTCCTGCAAGTCAAAGAGCACACTGATGTAGGTTTTGAAGTAAATCCCATCAACGTTTGACCCATTCCCTTGGCCTCATTAGAAGCCTGTTTAAAATTTTCTATCATCCTGACTGCTTATACACCACAAGGTCTTGTGAACAGCTGATAATAAAGCAAAGCTATTAATCTTGTTATAAACAAAGGCACACTGATTTCTGTGGAGACTTGAGGGTTGTATGTGAGCTGGTGGGAAGAGGGCTGGGGGCATGGGGGTGGTTGGGTTGTGTGTCCTTTTTTTGCCAGATTCCTTTTAGGGTAGAAAGAGGCAAAGTGTCTTCGCCTGTTCTAAAGGGAATCCAAATCAGGTTTGGCAATTTGGGGTTATTCAACCCTTCTTTAGTGAGTTGGCCTTAGAAGAGCTGGTGAGCAATAAGCATTCCCTCCTCCATGCTGACCAAGAACCCCACTCCATAGTATGTCCTGGGAACTTCATCTTCCTCTTCGTGCATCTTTCAGCACCCACCTGTCTTCCCCTGCCCCTTATGTGGAGTGATACTGTCCTTGGAAGCGTCACTGGAAGAGGAAGAGAAAGATCAGGTAGGGATCAGATATAAGAAAGAATGAAGGGACTTCAATAAGACACTTGGAGTGCCAGACTGGTTAACAAAGCATCATGCTAACAAAGCACAATCATGAAATAAGTGAATCCACCAACAGTGCACCTTACTGCAAAAGGGAATAATTATGGCATCGATATGAGCCAATTATATACTCTTAACATGCCCAAACCTCACATATTAGCATCTAACAAAGAAGATGGACCTCCAGTGAGCCCACTAATCCCCATTCTTGCTCCTATTGTATGAACTGATGGTATCAGAGACCTCCAAAGGAGAAATGCTATAAACATGCATGTGACTGAAAGAATGTAAATACGATAAACAGAGCTAATGTTGTACACTGTGACATAAGAAGCTCAAGCAATTCCTTAGAAAGGATAATGTTCTGAGAAAGAAAGGCTCTGTTGTCTGTATAGCTAAATCACACACAAGTCTCCAGAGAATGAACTGGCTATATGAACATTACCAGAGGCTGGAGCTTTGATAGTTAGCACACAGGAAGACATTTCAATTTAGGTCCAATATTATGGAGCTCACCTGCAGCCTAAGAGGATGCTTGGGAGTAGCAACACTTCCTTTGTTCTCTGGATGATAAACATGAGTCTAGACATCTTCATACACATCTTGAACTAATCCACCGTTTATAGGTATCTTTTGTCTTTTCTCAATACTTTAAGTAATGAATTATGATTAACATTAATTATATTAATTTAAAGGAAAGCATACAGCTCAATATCTTTACTTTAGTAGACATAGAATTGAAATTGTTTTGATAGTCTTTTCCAGCCCTTGGGGCTTTGGGTTTTCACACAGTGAATCAAAGCTGAATTACTTCCCTTTTTGTCAAATCCAAACAACCCATCATAAAAGTAAAAACACAATTTTGTTGACTTGGACAGGAATATAATCAGCTTAATGTAAGATGTTTATCAGAGAAACAACTGAACCAGTCCCTTGGGGGCTTCAAGTTGGAAAATAAAGAACATGGTTTGGGGCTTCTTTTGCTATTTTCTTGGAAAAGTTGGCTATATTGAAATATGGGGTGAAGCAATTTAATATTTTGTTGCTCCTTACTCTATACTGCTAATCTGAACCCCTTGAACTAATGCCCTGTTGATTCTACTTGTAATTTGTTGCTAATTGAATAAAGGATCTACTCAATAAGAAGAAACATAGTGGAAAAGAACCTATTTTAGGGTTTAATGAAATTCAATACCATAAAAGAGCTTAATTGCATGTTCAGAATTAAGTATATCAAAATAGCATTGCCTATGATTGAAAGATTTCGCCTCCAAATAGCAAAACTCTCATCAGATTACACCCCCTAATACACTTTCAAGATTTAAGCAGAAATCTCATAGTCATGACTGTTCTCATAGCTGTTCTCCACTCAGACTGGATTCAGAAAATGAACCCATACATGAAGTATTAAAGGTCAGAGAGACCCTCTCAGTGTAATTACCAGGATTAGAGGGACTCACTTCTGAAAACCAGCAATCCAAAACCAAGTTTGCTGTGGCACAAAGCAAAGATGCTGTAAAAACATAATACCAAAAATGCCTTGCTTACTGATGGCTACGTCTGCAAAAATAATGTCTGCCAGTGCAGTGAATTCTTGTTCTACCAAGAAGTTACAATGTGTTTGAAGTATGCTTCCAAAACACAAAATGACTTTATTTCTTTCCTGAATCTATAATTTTCCAAAGACCAATTGACAACATTTTGTTTTATTCTTAACTTCAAAGACCAGAAAAAAAATTATCAGCCTTTTTACATTATTTAAAGTAACTCACAAAATGAAACATTTTGATGTGGAAACTACACACAGTAGTTCTTCACATTAGTGGTATGAATCAGATGCAGATTGCTGGTTAGAACTGGAAAAAAATCTGTCAATATACAAATTGAAGCTCTTGGGATATGCACTTTTACTCTACACATCTAAAACAGGAGGAAAACACTAATCAAATTTTTTTATGCCCTGTGTGTTTGAGATTAAGGAATAGACCCTTAAGATGTTATAATATGTCCTGAACTGTGCCTTTAAATTGATTCATTCTGACTCATTTAAATTTAACTTCATTAGCTAACCCATTTTTCAGTGAAATCTAAAGTAATGTAATATGATAAAATATTTTATATTAAACATGAAGGTTTAGACAAAAATACACGACATTTCAAAAAAATCTAAATCATGCTTTGTGGATGAATCAATTTGTAGTTATGGCAAAAAACGTTTCACAAATATAGCTGTAATTCAACAGTAGCCCTTTCATTTCTAAAAATGTGATTGACCTCAATTTTAAGTCTCTTGTTTTCAGCCGGATGCAGTTTGTCTCCTTTGGTGCTACATGCTTCAATGAAGGATGCATTCTGGAAGGCCTTTGCACTTCCAGCAGAGGGCTGGAAAGGGTCACTGATCCTAATTCATTACTGTTGCAAGTAGGCACATCATCTAATCCTTTAAACTCCAATTTAAAGCTAGTTAGGGTTTGTTTTCTGCCTCTGTTTCTTTAATTTCCTGCTTAAATTTTCTTATTGTTTGTTCATATCTATTTGTTGCTTTAGCTTTAAAATTTTGTTTCCTTTTGCCTTCTTTTGTCTCAGGCAAACAAGCAAAACTCTTCTGTCACACTACAGGCTTTCTATTCTTATACTCATCTTCATGGCCCCACTCCCCACACACAACAGAACTCAGTGGTTCAACCTGTATGCATCATTCCAGATGCAGATATCGCCAGGTCTTTGTAAAATGTCATTGTACTTCTTCATCTTTAGCCATACATCATTTGAGACATCATAACACTGCATTTTCTTTCTTATGGCTACATTGTAGTGCAGCCTGTTGTCAACCTGAGATTACAGCTACACCCAAGGATAATTCTGTCACTGTCTTTTTTTGCTGAGCAGCTTCAATGTTGGAGTTCTGCTGTTAGTCAAGTGTGAGACATTTTTTCAGTGCAATTACATTGCATCTTTTTTCAGTGGTAGCAAGCCTTAAAATCACCTAACCTCTCCTTCCATTCCAGTTCACGTTGAATAGATACCTTCCAATTTCATGTCATCAGCAAAATTAACCTGTTTATTTACTTTTTGGCATCAAAGTCAAAAATTTGTTGGATACTTAGCCATTTTGATGCCAGTGTTTGGGGAATTTCATTAGTAATTTCTTTCCTTTCCAACACGTGCATTTCTGTCACCTGCTGGCTTTTGCTTATCTGCTAATAGGAAAAAAAAAATGCAGTAAGCTACTTTTTTTTTTCTATTCTATTACTCAAAAGCAGATGAACAGATATTTGGATTCATGCAGATTTGCTTTTTTGTTTATCAGTTGCTTTATTTCTTGACTGAAGAAAAAAAAATCTGTGATATTTTAAAGGAGCATTTATATACTCAAAGGAGGACACTTGAAGTACAGCATATACAGTTTTTACATTTTTGGTCATAAATAGCCTAAAGTTCTTCCCAAGCTTTCTATCATAGAATCACAGAATGGTCAAGTGGGTCAAATGGGGCAGAATCTAGCTGGAGGTCTGTGACTAGTGGAGTCCCTCAGGGGTCGGTGCTGGGAACAGTGCTGTTTAATATTTTCATCAACTACCTGGATGAGGGAGCTGAGTGTACCCTCAGCAAGTTTGCTGATGATACTAAACTGGGAGGAGTGGCTGACACACCAGAGGGCTGTGCTGCCATTCAGCGAGACCTGCAAAGGCTGGAGAGTTGGGCGGGGAGAAACTTGATGAAATTCAACAAGGGCAAGTGTAGAGTCTTGCATATGGGGAAGAACAACCCCATGTACCAGTACAGGTTGGGGGCTGACCTGCTGGACAGTAGTGAAGGGGAAAGGGACCTGGGGGTCCTGGTGGATAGGAGGATGACCATGAGCCAGCAATGTGCCCTTGTGGCCAAGAAGGCCAATGGCATCCTAGGGTGCATTAGAAAGGGTGTGGTTAGTAGGTCAAGAGAGGTTCTCCTCCCCCTCTACTCTGCCTTGGTGAGGCCGCATCTGGAATATTGTGTCCAGTTTTGGGCCCCTCAGTTCAAGGAGGACCAGGAATTGCTTGAAAGAGTCCAGCGCAGAGCTACAAAGATGATAAAGGGAATGGAACATTTCTCTTATGAGGAGAGGCTGAGGGAGCTGGGTCTCTTTAGCTTGGAGAAGAGGAGACTGAGGGGTGACCTCATCAATGTAAAGGGTGAGTGTCAGGATGACGGAGCTAGGTTTTTTTCAGTGATGTCCAGTGATAGGACAAGGGGCAATGGGTGTAAACTGGAGCATAGGAGGTTCCATGTGAACATCAGGAAAAATTTCTTTACTGTGAGAGTGACAGAGCACTGGAACAGGTTGCCCAGGGGGGTTGTGGAGTCTCCTACGTTGGAGATATTCAAGGCCCGCCTGGACAAGTTCCTGTGTAATGTACTCTAGGTTACCCTGCTCTTGCAGGGGGGTTGGAGTAGATGATCTTTTGAAGTCCCTTCCAACCCTTGGGATTCTGTGATTCTGTGAGTTTGGAAGGGACCACTGGAGTTCACCTGGTCCAACTGCCCTGACTAAGCAGGACCACCTACAGCAAGTTTACCAGGGTTGTACTCAGGCATCTTTTGAATATCCCTAAATGTTGAAACTCCACAGCCTCTCTGGGTGACCCGTGCAAGCATTTGACCACCCACACAGGGAAAAAAGGAAAAAAAAAAAAAGCAGCTTTTTCTTGTGTTTAGATGGTACTTCCCATGCTTTAATTTGTGCCAATTATCTTTCATGTGGTAGTGGGCACTATTGAGAAGAGTCTTTGCCTTCATTCCTTCTTGTACCAGGGAGCCCAGAACTGGACACAATGCTTCAGATGTCACCTCAGAAGTGCTGTGTTGAGGGGTGTGCTGGTTTTGGCTGGGGTAGAATTAATATTCTTCATAGTAGCTAGTATGGGGCTATGTTTTGGATTCATGCTGAAAAAAAAGGTGTTGATAACTGACAGGTATTTCAGTTATTGCTGAGCAGTGCTTACACAGAGTCAAGTCCTTCCTCTACTCCTCATAGCACCCTGCCAGTGAACAGGCTGGGAGTGCACAAAATGTTGGGAAGGGGCACAGCTGGGACAGTTGGCCCAGACTGACCAAAGAAACATCCCATCCCATATGGCGTCTTGCTCAACAATAAACTAGTGAGGAGGTTGGCTAGGGGCTGCTGCTCAGGGACTGGCTGGGCATTGATCAGTTGGTGGTGAGAAACATATTTCACTGGCATCAGTTGTTTTTCTTTGGGTTTATTTCTCTCTGCTATTTTCCTTTTCATTACATTATTCTAATTAGTAATAGTAGTAATAGCAGTAGTAGTAGTATATTTCAACTATTAAACTCTTCTTATCTCAGCTCTTAAGTTTTCTCACTTTTCCCCTTCCAATTTTCCTCTCCCCATCCTGCTGGGGGGGGGGGGAGGGGTGCTGAGTTTAGGGAGTGAGGAAGCAGCTGTGTATTGCTTAGCTGCCACATATGGTTAAACCATGACAATATGCTGGCAACATTCCTCCTAATGCAGCCTAGGATGCTGTCGTGGTTTAAACCCAGTCAGGCAATTCGTTCACTCACTTCCCCCCCTTCCCTTCTTGCCCTCCCCCTGCTCCTGGAGGGACGGAGAGGAGAGTCAAAAAGAATGCAAATCCCACGGGTTGAGATAAGAACAGTTTAGTAACTAAGGTATAACACAAATCATTACTGCTACCACCAATGATAATAATGATAAAGGAAATAACAAGGTAAGAGAATACAACACCTCACCACCAGCCGACCGATAACTCCCCCCCAAGGCCTGACCAAGCACCGACCCATACCTCCTCCAACCCTGCAGTCTCCCAGCCCTTCCGGCTAACTCCCAGTTGCACCCTGGGCATGACGTGCTGTGGTATGGAATACCTCTTTGGACAGTTTGGGTCAGGTGTCCTGTCTCTGCTTCCTCCCGGCTTCCCCTCCTTCCTGGCAGAGCATGAGGCTCACAAAGTCCTTGGTCAGACTAAAACATCGCTATCAGCTCTGTTCCCAGGCCAAAAGTCAAAACACAGCACTGCACCAGCTAGCAAGAAGGAGAAACATGACTGCTACTGCTGAACCCAGGACAGATGCTGACAGCCTTCTTTGTCACAAGGGTGTATCCCATCAGGACACTTCATAATTTGTCTTTAGCAATTGCTGATTACTACAGAAAATACCTACAATATAACTGAGAGTGGAATTTCTCTAGAAGAATGATTTAGAAGATTTGTACAATTCCTGCAAGTTAAGACAATGAGCACCTTAAAAAATTACATTGTCACAATGTTGGAAACAGGGTGAAAACTTTCAACTTTTGCAGATTTGTTGGAATTTTTCCCTTTTTTTCTTTCAGTTCCTTTTAGTATTTACTTGAAGTGACTGACTGTATGATGGAATCTCCTCATTAAATGTGAATGATAAGTTACACATTCAGTCGCCACAGCTTGAGGAAAAGGTTTTGGCATAGGGGAATTTTGCAAGTTAGCAATAAGGCTCCTCGGTCATTTATAGCATCTTTGTTTGTTATTGAATCCTCACTGTTGTGCCTGTGTTCCCTCGGTACAGTCTTCTTTCTAAACTGATTTCTCACTGAGACACCACAGGGAAACCCTTGTGAAGGGGTTTCAAGTCAAACCTCAGCTGAACAGTAATCCTATGTATATGCCTTTTTCACTATCGAACTCAGAAGTGCAAATGTTTTCTGCTTTGCTTTCTATATTGGGAACAAATACCATTAGATCCTTTCAGTGTCACTTCTCTCTTCTGATCTTTTACCCTTGGCAAGCCTGCTACTTGCCTTTCAAGGGAGCACCTCTAACATAACAGCTTGGCCACACGGAATGTGTTGCCAACTGGCTTCATAGTGGATTGGAGCAAACACTTAGCGTTCACCGTTGGACAGATTCATGCTATTTCACCCTGTTATCTGCACAGCCTTGCTAATCCAGCATGGACCAGCCAGTGCCCCTGGGGAAGCAGTAACCTTCTAAATATACAGTTGTCAGAATCTTAGCATTTTGTTACAGATCTGGTGGATAGGACAGTGACCCGTTATTTCTCTAAGAACACTTTAAAGCCTTGCTCTATAAATATACAGAATAATAACATCAAATACTGTACAACATATAAAGGTCTAGCACTAAGGTTACTTTTAAGCTTAGTTCTTTAAATCCTACCATTCATTTAATATACCAGAGGTTTCAGAATATGACAGTGTGAGATATACAATTTCTTAATGCACATAATTAAGCAAGTTCATTACCACATGTAGCAACTTACTGCTTTTATCTGACTTGTTATAACTATAATGCACACAGTCCAAACTCTAAGATAAAAAGCCTTGGTTTCAACCTCAGTGAATGTACTCCAAGTTTGCAATAAGGATGATTTTGATGCAAACACATACTCGTTTACTATCACTGAAGCATGAAGTAACTTGCCTGCACACTTCATCATAAGATTTTGACTATCTGATAAAAAATACCCATGAGACACCATGATGAGACACATGCCCAATAATTAATAAACAGGACTAACATGGCAAGTTACAGCCAGGAGACCCTTCGGACAGAAAAGGAACATGTCCTTTCCTATGGCAGAACATCCCTTTTCCCAGTCTCTGGATATACGCACCAAGTCAATGCACACCCTTCTTCTGCAGTGGTAAGGATGGAGGAGTAACACTTCCATTGCCAGTCCCTCGCAGTTTAAGGTGATGGTCCAGTTCTTCCTAAAAGAGTTGCAGGAGTGACAGTTGTGTTACCCACTCTTGACCTTTACAAATTACTTTAATCTCCCATGCTAGCACAGGTTTCACATTTTCTCCCCTGGGCCTTTTCAACACGATAGCACAGACAGGGCAAGTGGATTTGTTTGGACTGTCTTCTGAGCATAAAAATATATCTTGATCATGTCATAAGGTCATTTATGAGGACTGCAGAGCTGTTTCTTCTGAAGACAAAATACCACCAAGTCAGGTCTTCCTTCTTGTGTTAGACAATGAGAGACAATGATGCACATAAATTAAAGAGTAATGCAATGCAGCACAACACAGATTTGGAAACTTCAGCACTTCATTTATAGTCAATGCCTCCATGTCACTGGATGCGATCATAAAAATAAGTATTTTTATATGATATCCATAGCTGGGAAAAGTACAAGAAACTACCAGAACTGAAAGCTTTTGAAGCAATAATACTTAGAACCTATTGCAATGAAGCTGTTGACTGGAACGTAACATTGCATTCCTGGCTGCCCTAGAATTTATGTTACTATTCGCACTTGTTGAAAAATAACTACTACTACTGTGAAGGAACTTTTTATTATTGTCTCTGTTATTACAAAATAGTCCAGCAAAATAGCATTGCAAGATTGTGAACTGTCTGTCATATTTGAATCACTCTTTCATTACAGGCTTTTTTTCAGTAACAGCTACTTGGAAATACTAAGAATGCCCTTGAGACATTTTCCTGAAATGCTTATTACAAAGCAATATACCTCACATAATCTCTTGCAATTAGGGCTTAGAACTCTGTGATTTCCTAGGATTCACCATTTTTAACTAACACTGTTCATTTTAAAAGTTAAATCAATAAAAGGTGTCCCTGCCCACGGCAGCGGGGTTGGAACTAGATGATCTTAAGGTCCTTTCCAACCCTAACTGTTCCATGATTCTATGATTCTAAAAATACTGACAGAAATGAGACAGTAGATTTTCGGTACTACAGAGGAAAGAAAAGAAACATATTTTGTTCAGGAGGGACTACAAATATAGTTTGTTTCATGTTTTACATCTTTGCTCTCTTTCCACAGTGAAATCAGATGAGTTGCAAACAATCAAGAAGGAATTAACCCAAATCAAAACAAAAATTGACTCCTTGCTAGGGAGACTGGAAAAGATTGAAAAGCAGCAAAAAGCTGAAGCAGGTAGGTGAAAGCAATTTGTAGTCAAATGAATTAAATTAGAGCCTAGTTATTAGTCAGACAGACCAAAGAGAATGCAATCCTTTCAGAAATTTTGTTACATAATGGAGGTCTAAAGCAAGGTAAATTAATTCTCAGGTAGAACTATTGGGAGGATAAACTTATATTATTCACAGAGCATGCAACATAATTTCAAGAATTGTTTTGTATTGTGCAGTAGAAAAATTAAAAAAAAGAAAAAGAAAAGGAAATAAAAGTTCTTAGTAGATGTTCTGGAAACAAAATGTCACTAAAAAAAAAATGACTGGAGAGATTTAAGTTAAAGGTTGTTGACTCCGAGGATGTTGTGCTATCCACATTCAGAATTGTAAAATGGTCTATACCAGGAATTATTGCCTGGGCAATAGTCACAAGTTGCAGCAAGGGAAATTCCTGTTTGATATAAGGAAAAGAAATGCAACTAAGCAGAATAGCAGGTTTCCCAGAGATAAAGTGGCTGTTCCAGCCTTGCAAGCATTCAGAACTCCAAAAGTCCATGGACTTGGACCAAACTTTGAGTTTGGCCCTGCTTTGAAGAGCGGTTGGACTTGAAGACTCCAGAGATCCCTTCCAACCCAAACTGTTGTGTGAAGCTGTGGCGTCTCTATAAAACCAGCAACATGTCAAGGTCAGCTTTTCTCTGGCTTGAAATGTTTTGTTTTGAGGCAAACCTTGGGAATGACAAAATCCAGAGCTACTTTTTAATTTAATCAGTACCTATTTCTATCATTACAGCGGTCATTTTGTTAGATGAATGATCTCACCTGGCAGCGCTTTAAAGCTCTGCTTAGTACTTACAAGGGATTTATGAGTTTGTATTTTCACCACAGCATATATAAAAAACAATCTCAGTTCTTACCACTGTCTATGGTATTTCTTTAGTTATTTCCTTATAAATCACTGTATATCCCTGTACAGGAGCTGTGTACTAGCAAGCTGATTTTGATGAGAGTTAGCTGGGAAAAGGAAACCTTTTTTCATGAAAAATCTCAAAGTTTCTTTTTTTTCTCCCTTCATTCTCTGATGAAAACTTTTTATGTATTTTGTGTGAAATATGTGAAGGAAATTCTGCCTCATAATCCACAGCTGCCTGGGTGTCTGAACATCAGATTTGTGTCCCTTGCATAACTCAAATCTGTTATGTGATAACTGATCACATAAGTTATGTGATATATGTCATATCACACTGAATTATGTGGTATGTGATAAGCCAGAAAGACCCAACAGGACACAAAGAGAGTTCCATCAAGACTATCTAAGACATTTGTGGGAATTAGCAGTTTAGCTTCTTGCACATGATGCAGGCAAAATAGATATTTAGATCTGAATCCCTCCTGTTCCCTAGTGCCTGCCCTATTTCCTGATCTATTGTGGAAGTACCTCTCTGAACCTTCTCTCACATTTAGAAGTAGCTCTAATGAACATCTTCCTAGGGCAGAACACTACAGAAAAATATTTTGTGGTTAACAAATAAAAAAAAACTAAATAAGCAAACAAGTAAAAAAAATCACAAGCAAAACAAAACAGAAAACCAAAACCAGCTCTGAAAAACCCTCTGCCTTTTATTTACAGTCATTTTCTAAGTTGATAGACAAGAACCAATACCTCAGCTGTTATAGTTTATCCCATAAAATAAGCTGAGTGCTTTTTTGCAAGTCTAAGGTAAACCATTAGTACAGAATGTGATTATCTCTTTCAGGAAAACCATGCACAATATGTATTCATTATATTTTGTTTTGTACTTTATGCAAGTTAGATAAAAGTTGGTATAATCAGTGAAGACGTAATTGCAAGGCACTCCTTTGAATCACTTGCCTACTGAAATGCTCTGAGATGGTGCATCCCTACTTCAGGTAGCTTTTATATAAAATCCATTACTATGCAAAACAACCTGCATCTTATTGTACTTTGATATCCAATTTTCATTTTTGCTGAAGGACTGTATTGAACTCATTTAAATAGAAATCAGCTCAAAGAGGGAAAAGTTGATTTGTATTGAATCATACTATTATGCCTTTTGAAGACAAGCATTGAATAATATCCTCAGAGATTAAAAACTGGTTTCAAATTGTTGATGTTTTAAAACATCAGGTGCAGAACTAGTCCCCCATATTTCTTTTCCCATAAGAGGGTATGAGGAGAAAAAACACCTCAGAGAGACCAGTAAGCGTGGATCCTCATTTACATCTCCTGAGCTGATAAAGAGGGTTCTGCAGCCTGGGTGATTAGTCTGCAGATGATTGCTTCCTCAGCTTAAAGAGAAAGCTACATTAGTAGCTATGCTATTTCATTTACGGTGTCAGATGTGTGATGATTTTGTTCCTTCTCTATGATTTCACAATACTATTTCTTACTTTCCTCTGCCAGAAGGTGTGGCCTCATTAGACTGGGATCAGAGAGAGGATCTATGTCTCATTTACACACAACAAAAAACTGAGACATCATCTTGCCCTTTTGGTTTTTAAGTTTGCATCTCTTTCAGAAAAAATATTTAATTATGAATCTTAACAGTTATACATTTGGAAGAATGTGATACATTAAGCAGACAAGCGGGACAAGTTCAGTGCATACATTCGTTACTGTTCTACACCTGTGTGAAAACTTCTTATAGCTGATGTTCTATCTTTTACTATTAAGTGACCACTCTAGTAGGGGGCTATAGATAAAAGGATTTCCTCTATACACAGAAACTTCAGGAATAGCTTCTTTGTAAAAATCTGAATTACGAACCCAGGGATAAGAAAGTGTTATGATGTGAATATATATATATATATATATATATATATATAGTAAAGGAAAATATTCTCCCTGTAATATCAGAGCTGGATGCTGAAAGGTAGGATCACAGGGTTAGCTTCTCAGAAGAGCCCGAGAGTTAGACGCTGAGCCGGTATTTGATACTCTTCTGAAGAAGCCAGTATAAGTTCTCATTCAGAAAATTAACTGAGTGACCTAATTTTTTAGCAGTTGTATCCTAAAAGTTTTCCCTTTGAAAGTATTAAGTCCATCATTTCAGGAACCTTTTTTTGAAAGCTTTGACCAAAGTTGATTCACTGCCACAGATGGGTTAATCTCAAAAGTGACTTGAAGCAGAAGGTGGTGTGGCAGGACATAGACATAGCTGATTCCATCCACATTTCCTTGTGCATAAGACAAGTAACACAATAATTTATAACTAGTATGGTATTTTATAGACCACCTTACACATAGATTATGAGGCTTCATGGACTGAATCTTCTACTACTGTGTGTGACTACTGTTGAAGCAGTTATGTAAGATTATTTTTATTCTTTAAGTCCAAAAATCTTTCTGAAGAAATTATATGACTAAGGGATAAAAGCTCAATTGTTCTATGCCTTCAGCTAATGAATTTGAAAACGAGGGACTAGAGACTAACAGACTGAAGAAGTGAAAGTAAGTTGTAAATTAAATGTGCACAGGCAGAAGGGAAAGCAAACTTCTTGGTTTAAGACTATGATAAAAAAAAGTATGAGCAGATTTGAATATTATCGGCAGTTGGTAATAATTAATAGTAAAATAATATATTCATAGAGCTTCTCTATGAAATAGCTTCATAGAGCTTCTCAAAATATAGAGCTTCTCAGGGAATCTGCAGATTCATTGGCTGTCTGACAAGATAGGTGATGTACTACTAGCATTATAGAGCAGCTAATCTAACAAAGAAATATATTGCCACTCTCAGATTGAAAAGACATTGGTATTTCAGCTACATGCAACCAATTCTCTGGCCCATATTCACTTTGAGTACGTAAAGCTCTTCATCTAACTCCTGATATGCATAAGACTGATCCCTCAAACCATTCTGGCCACTATCTCTGTCATTCCTCCCTCAATCCTCCTCTGGATTTCTGCTGGCTGGATGAAATTCCTCAGTGTATCCAGGAGTCTTACAATGCATATTCACAACAATGCAGCTATCTGAGCTAAACCAAGTGGAATAGATCCTCTGGGCCTCCATGGAAATTGTCTTCCTTTTCACTGCCTTGCAGAAATTATAGGAAGCCTATAGTTGAGTAATTGGAAGGGGCATTCTCCATTTACCTCAGCACATTATACCAGCAAGGAGAAACGGCTACTTTAGTCCATATGTAAAATATAAAAAATATGTTCAGTTGTCTAGAAGGATTTGATTTGTGTGGTTGTTGAGATATATTCACAACAAATTTATGCAAATCTTTGTTCACTCATTGGAAATTAACAGCCTTCCACTTCTCAGAGCATAGAGATTTATGTACTTCTCATTGGCTGCAAATAAATACGTATATAGTGACTAAGCCAATTGAATTCCCCAGGCAAAGTCCAGAAAATCAGAAAGCTGGATCCACTGGTAGATCACACCTTCAGCTACTGCATGGGATAGATGAGCATGTTTGCACTAGATTGACTTGTGCATTTTTTTTTTTAAACAAGGGGGTTTATCATATTTGCCTGGTAGATTTTAACACACTGAAGTTTACAAAGCTAGCACATCTGGAGAGGGGAAGCTTAGGTTTCTTCCTCAGAGCACTTTTCTTTGCCACCAGTAGGGAAGGTTACTGAATCTCTATAGAGTATGTTTTCCTTACAGAAGCTCAAAAGAAACAAATGGAAGATAATGCTGATTTGATTCAAGAGGAATGCATATCAGAGAATGCAGATAATTCTACGGAAGAGCCAATTGAAGGAGGGCCAGATGCAGATGGGGATGGAGAAGATATGACTGATGGGATAGAGGAGGATTTTGATGAGGATGGCAGCAATGAGCTGGTAAGGAATACTCATGCCATGATTATATCTGTCTATGCAGTTGCTACAAGTAACCACAGAGAAACAACAGTGTGGGTTAAAAAAATAAGCTCACAACAGCACTGTGACTCACTAGAGCCAAATCCTACATTCTTCATACACTGTAGCATCAATTAAGCATAGGTCCCTTTGATAATAAGTAAGAAAAATATATTTTACCACACTTGGTGAATTTTAGGAAGGAAATTGAATATACTTTAAATTGGTTTACATCTATTATTCTATATTTACTAAAATTTAGATAGAGAAAGGAAAATATTCTGGTATTTTTTATTCGAACTGGAGCATTTCAAAATTAAAGAAGATTCTAGAATGCAGAACTTTCTCATTAGAAAACATGTGCTCTCCCATAATTCCCAGTCCCTGTCTTTCATGTATATCTTCTGTAGGCTGTGTTGGCAGCTACAGATTTTTTTGATGGAAGGCTTTTTCCTTAAGAAACATTTGGCTAAGAAATATTTGAGCTTTTAGCCTGAGACTGCACCTTTCATGAAATACCCATCATGTTGACAAACTTCCAAGTTCTTCTAGAGCCACACTAAAAAAATATTTGGAAAGTCAGATTTGTACTTATTCATTCATTCCAAGTACGCATGGGTCAGTCACATTGGTTTAGACTATAATACTCTCCCTCTCTTCCTGTCTTTCGTATTCTGCTGTGAGCAGAAATCACTTCTGTTGCTCAGTGTCATTGTTCCTGCTTGCTTTTTAACACACAGTTAATCATGTGTGCACTGTAAAAATCTTTCAGTGAAGCCAACAAAAGTCAGTCAGTAATGGGAAGAGCTGAACCAACAGCAAGTCTAGAGTAACAAGGCACGTGAATAACCAGTGATTTATACCTCTTACTGTAAACGTATTTCAAACCTACTGCTAATTTGAGGGTTTGTGTCCCTTTAACCAGCACAAGGCCCTCTTGAATTTATAAATCCTGAATAGCATTATGACTAGAAGAAGCTAGTTCAACCACTCATCTGTTAACATGCATGTAGAATAGATGATAGTATCACTTCTTCTCAAAGGAGCAGGTTCTCCTGTACAGATATGAGGGACTTCTGTAAGAAGCTGCCACTCCGATTTTGTAGGAATTTGAAATTTAGTAATGAACACATAGTTGTAAATATCCCACCATGACTAATACCTGCTGAAGTGATATTAGCAATAGGGGTTGAAGACAGTTTTACAAGACTGGTGGGTTTTGCACTAATTAGATGTCAGACTCCATGCTGCAGACAACTAAGTGGGGAAGTTAACTAACAGTATATTAGCTTCTGACTGTTCAGTGCTGTCATTTTGCCCTGTGGGTATGACATATTCAGCGTATATCTACAGAAGTTTTTCATATAGCAAAGGCCTAAGCAGGAAAGTTTCTAAAAAGCAAGCAGCATGGGAAGACTTCATTAGCAGTGAAAGTCTGGAACTGGCACAGCCACATTTGCACACCAATGCTTCCAAGTTAAAAAGCCTTTCCAACATTTATGCTATGGAATTAGTTGAAGTACAGTGTATTGCAGACACAGCTCCAAAGACAAAGAGGTCTGAGCCATATATCTAAGTCATGGGGGAGAACCAGCTTCAGTTTCCCTGCATGCCGCTACTGAGCCCCTTGAGTTCTACAAGGAGGTGGGTCACTGCACATGGAGAGTGATGTCCTCTGCCTTGCACTGCAGCACTCATGAAAGATACCCCCAACCCTGACATGGTGGTAGCAAGGAAAGGCTGAGGAAGAGCACTTATATGCACTGTCTTGGTCAGGTGCAGCCAATCCCAGTACCAGGGCAGTGGAGCCAGTCAGCTTCATGCATTTCACCTTCCCTGGTGGAAGAAACCCTCTAGCCAAGAAGCTGGCAATATTGCAGACTTAAAAGCTCAGAACCAAGATGGTCACTGATGTAAATTCCTTACGCTTTTCATTCTCCCTTGTCATTTTCCTCAAGCTTTGGAAGAGGCTACTTCACCTCATCCCTGCTATGGTCAGATATTAACACTTTCTTTTGCAAAGCCTAGGGAGATCATTTAATGAAAACCTGCTATGGATGGGATAAAGGATTGCGCTACAAAGGATTACTTCAAAGAAATCTCAGGCAATGGGTGTTTCCCACAGAGAGCTATTATAAATTGAACTACGCATCTTTGCCCTACAGTTTATACCCAAACTCTTGGCAGCATAGCATTGCCAGTACTGTTAAAATCAGACGCTGGTAGTTTGTGATGCATATTGTAATTTAGACTAGTTTTCACTTATACTTACATATATTTATGTAGCTACAATGGCCAGTTCCTGTAAGTTTTGCTTTCTACTCCAGCCACTGATATGACTGGAAAGTCATACCAGACTGTATGACTGGAAAGTCAACCAGAATACTGTCAAATATATGATGAATTCCAGTAGGAATACTTGGAATTTCAATCTGCCTCTACCCATTTTATGCCCTGCTATCTGGCATCACCCTCTGTTTTGTGAAAAGTAAAATATATGATAGGTAAGCTTGCTATGAGACAAAAAGTCCCAACAGATGTTCTCCTGTTTTACGAAAACTAAGTTATTTAAGAAAAAGAGCTGACTAATACCAAATGTGCCAATTTGGAATGAAGCCACTTGCAACTCATTTGAGAAAAAAATGAGTGTTTCACTTTTAACACTGTTCTTTTAAGCATAAAGAGTGTTAAATGTGAAACAATTAGGACAAACTTTTCATGTGTGAAATCATAAACAGAATACTCAGAATTAGAAATACCCCTCAAAAGTGCATTTTTAATGAACTCTATAATATTTTCCAAATATGAAGCTAAAGGGATTTAGGGTGATGATGGAAAAAAAAGTCTTTTCTTTCACCACTAAGAGCAGCAGAGCAAATAGAAGAAAATTTGAAGTGGGCACAACTAATGTTCTGAAGTCACTTCAGCATCAAAATTAGTTGTGAATCCACAAGTCTGAAAAATATTATTAGAAGAGAGGAACATGAATTAAACTTAGAGCTTAACCTTTTTCTCAATGCTCCATATTTAGCTGTAAATCTTCTGCCTAGCCATTTGCCAAGAACCTGCTGCAGGACTCATTTTGCTGAACACAATACTGTTATCTTTTTTTTTCTTTCCCCTGTGATGAGCCCTAAGGCTATCAGTAAAAGGAAGTGTTCATTAAGGACAGACCCTCTGCCAGAGTCCAGATGCTGCCAGAATGGAGCCTCTGAATCTGTGTATGTGGGTCTGCATCTCTGGACCAGAGGACTCAAAAGTGTATTTCTTGATATTTAAATCTAACTTTCAAAGGAAATGACTATGCAGGATGTATGCTGTGGGTTTAGGTGGTAGGAACGGTTCTCTAAGTTCATATGCTATTTGGAGGAACAGGTTAACTGCACATTAACTGAGCAACAGCAGCTGTCCCCATGCCTGCTTTCAGCCAAGACCAACTGTGAAGAAATGAGAAGTAGTTTAGCCTGTTGCCTGAGCTAAGTCAGGCATGGATTTAAGGATGCTTAAGCCTCTTCGTTTACCTGCCTGGCTGCACACACAAAGCGATACCACATTCGACAGCTGCACACCTTTTTCATCCACCATTTAGATCAGGATGTTGTTTGTCCCTGCACTGTAATTTTCAAAGGACTACAGACATGCCCACAAATAGTCATTATAGCTCAGCTGAAGTGTAAAAAAGTTTTATGCCACAATAACTTGATTGCCCATCTGAACTCTAATTGAAGACATGCTGTATTTGAAGTATCTGCTGCACTCATCAAATATCACCTCCTGGGTGTCTTTTGTATCAACTGTTTGCTCACAAATGTGTCTCAGTGCTGCAGACACTCCAGCTTGAGGCTTTTTAGAAAAATACCCAAAGACTTTTGCTGCATTGACATACTGAAGAGTTCTTTAAATTGTGATTTCAGGTATATGATCCAGATATGTACAGATTTGTCAAATAGCTGACTTCAACTTGTTCAGTCATGGGTGCCATCTGCTTCTCATTCACCTGGTCTTATATGGTGGCTTTCTGCTTCCTCTTGTACAAGCATGAAAACATATTTAGATATATATATATATTAAGTAATCACTAGCTTGGAATGTAGCTCCTGGGCTTACTCTACAACTCCTGTCACTTAACTGACCATCAGAAGTAGCTGGAGTGGATAAAAACTTCGGCTCTGTTTCCATTGCTCATTCTAGATAAAAGAAATACCAACCAAAAAAAAAAAGAAAAAAAACAACAACCCCAACCCAACAAAAAACCCCAACCAAGTAGTTGGTTATCCCAGATTTTACTGGATCCAGTACCCACTCCTCTCACTGAACCGTTTCTAGCTGCAGTGAATTAAAAATCCTTGTGTTCCTTCCTAGTGTGAGCGTGTCCGCTCTTATTGCTTAAACTGTACCCTAACAGTGCTGTGAAAAAAGCAACACACCTACACAGCTTCACTTCTTTCCTTCCAGGAAACAAGCTCCAATGAAGAAAGATCTTCATGTTTACTAAATTCACCTCACACACAAATCACAAACAAGCCACAAATCATTGGAACTCAAGTCATCAGTGATATCAAGCACTTTTCAGGTGCCTGTCATGGCTTTAAATTGAAAGCAGTGGGAAGGAAAGCGAATAACCTCATCTTATTCCTGTGGCTGAACAGCGGAGAGCAGAAAAATCACCTTTGCAGCACAGTCCAACACACATTTTGATATTTAAAAAGCAACTTGGCCTCAGCATCTCTAAAAGTCTTCTCACTAAAAGTAGCATTAGCATGTGTGGTGTGGCTGAGAATATGCAGACAAAGCATTTCAGAAATAATGTGTGTGGTGGTTTTCTTCCTCTGCTGATTTAGCAGCTGGACAACCTAGAGCATTTCATATAACTTCTATGAACTTGTTTCAGATGGCACTAATCAATCATTGAGGAAGCACTGGCTCAAAATTGACTGTAATTTATCATTGCAATCCCCTTGTAAATAACAAAGATGGCATCC